ATATAGATATATATAAATGCAAACCTTCTGTAAGTCCTTTGAGAGTACCTGCTCATTTGGATTCCCAGATATAATCATCTTCCTGATTTTTAGCATATATTTTTCCCTATTTGCTTTATCAAAAGAAGCACTGAACTTTATAACCAATTACACCATAGGAAAGTTATAATTGTTGAAAATGAAAGCTATTGATAAAAGTTAACAATTGTATTTACTGTAAGTCAATCACTTTACATATATTATCAAATTTAACCCTCAAATTATCTGTGATGTGCTTGTTTTCACAGATGAAGAAATTAAGCTTTAGAAACTAAAGCTTTAGAAAATAAGAAACCTGGCCCAGGTTACACAGAAGTGGCATTTTAACCAGTCCATCTAACTTTAGGGCCCAATAATCTTAATACACTAAAAAGAAAAAAAAAAATAAGTGGGAAAAAAAAAACATTTACAAGGCATTTATATGGAGGATGTTAGCCAGTTGTATTCTTATCTTCACTGAATAAAAAAGATATTATTAATTCATTGTCCTCAAAGTTGAATTCTGGGCTGGCAGCAACAGCATCACCAGGGATCTTGTTTACAATGCAAATTCCCAGGTCCCATCCAGAACTATTGATCAGAAACTGGAGTATGGGACACAGCTTCTTTTTAACAAGCCTCACAGGTAATTCTGGTGCTCATCCACTGGTTTAATTCTTTAATTCCTTACCCTAGCAGAACCTTAGGATCACTTGAGAATTTTACACAAACAAGATACTTGGGCTTGTTCCTAGAGATTCTGATTCACTTGATCTGGGGTACAGCATAGACAAGGACCTTCAGGTGGGGGGCACCTGGGTGGCTCAGTCCATTAAGTTCAGGTCATGATCTCATGGTTTGTGAGTTCGAACCCCATGTCAGGCTCTGCGCTGACAGCTCAGAGCCTGGAGCCTGCTTCAGATTCTGTGTCTCCCTCTCATTCTGCCTCTCCCCCACTTGCACCCTGTCTTTCCAAAAAATCACATTACAAAAATTAAAGGGAATTTTTTTTTTCAATGTAGCAGGTGGTTTAACGTATATAGCCATGGTGAGAACCAATGGCTTGACTGAAAGAGCTAACGAAGAAAAAAACGCTGGGTTGTTTCCAGACAATAGTAAAATGACTTAGGTATGCCTAAAAACATTTCTGGAGGGTTCTTTAATTCTAGGATTATGAAACAATGACCTTGGTGCCTAAAAGTGTTATATATTTAATTTCCGGAGCATTTAAGGACAAAAAGATGACCACAGATTAAATAAACCAGAACCAAGAGACTAAGTACCTCCACGGTTCATATTGTTTTGCTGTTTTTGAAGTAATTTATCTCCTAAATTTCTTTTAAAATCTTTAAGGAATAAAATATTTATGTCTTGATCACTCTTGATCACAATTTTGACCCTTGTCTAATAATTTACAATTGCTGCTATGATGACATTTTGTTTCTGTTTACACAAAGCATTATTATTTGTCCCTCCCAAAATAAGCAGTCAATGCCTATATTCTAATCTCTAACTGCTCCAATATCTTATTTTTAATATGGGATGAATGAATATCTGGGAAATGAGCAGTGAGAAGAAATTCTTCCTAAATAAATCACAGAGGGTTTAGAATTACTGGTTGTATCTTGTGATTATACTGCCTGCTTAGATTCTACATCTTCCATAAGAAAACCATGAGCTTTGGGAATAACTATTTTCTTGTATCAAAATGTATATCCTTACAATATTATAAGATTATATTAATATAAATTCTAAATATAAATTTATATTAATATAAATTCCACAAAAAGTAATGAAGCATTGATACATGCTACAACATGGATGAACCTCCAAAACATTATGCTACGTGAAAAATGTCAGAACAAAGGGTCACACGTTGTGATTCCATTTATAGAAAATACCCAAAATAGGTAAATCCACAGTAGAGCAATTAAGGAGATTACTGGTTTTCCAGGGGCTGCAGGTAAGGACAGGTAGGGAGCGACTGTTTAATGAGCATGGGTCTCCTTTCAAATTGATGAAATGTTTCGGACCTAGGTAGGGGTGATAGTGACACAATACTGTGAATGTACTAAATGCCAGTGAGTTGTATAATATATAATGGTTAATTTTAATGCTATGTGATTTCACCTCAATAAAAAAAATAATTTTTTCATGTTTATTTATTTTTGAGAGAGAGAGAGACAGACACAGAGACAGAGGGTGATTGGGGAAGGGGCAGAGGGAGAAGGAGACACAGAATCTGAAGTAGGCTCTAGGCTCTGAGCTAGCAGCACAGAGCCTGACATGGGGCTCCAATCCACAGACCATGAAATCATGACCAGAGCATAAGTCGGACGCCTAACTGACTGAGCCACCCAGGCGCCCCAATACAAAAATAATTTTAACAATAATTGACATCACATCCTAAAAAGCACTTTTGGCAACCGCATTTTCACTGGATTACCATGAGATGCATTGAAATAAAACATGTATTTTTTAATTTTTATTTTGAAGTAATTATAAATAGGAAACTAAAAAGGTGGTACAAGAAAGACCCATGTACTTTTCACTGTTTCTCCATTGTTTACATCTTACCAGTAATTATAATTATAGTACAATATAATCAGGAATTGGGCATTAGTGCAATGCGCATATATAGTTCTGTATCATTTTATCACATATATAAAATCATATATCCAACACTACACTCAAGATACAGAAATATTCCACCACCACAAAGATTTCTCTTGTGCTATTCCTTTAAGTCATAGACTCTCTTCTTACCACTAATATGTTTTCCATCTCTAAATTTTTGTTATATAAAGAATGCTATATAGATGGAACTATGTAGCATGCTTTTTCTTCAGACTGGCTCTTTTTCACCCATCATAATGTCCTTGAGATCCATCCAAGTTTGTGTGTTCATTTCTTGTCATTACCAAGTAATATTCCATGGTATGGATGTACCATAGTGTTTAATCATAATCTATCAATGGACAATTTGATTGTTTCTACTTTGGGGTTATAACAGATAAAGCTGCTCTGAAAAACTGTGTACAGGCTTTTGTGTAGACACAAATTTCCACATCACAGCCAAAATGCCCAAGAGCATGAATGCTGGATTCTACAGTAAAGGTTTATTTGGTTTTTTAAGAACCTGCCCAACTGTCTATACTATTTTCCAATTCCATTAGCAGTATGTGAGAAGGTCACTTTTTCCATATCATTGCCAAATGATAATTTGGCATTATCACTATTTCCTATTTTGGCTGTTCTAAGAGATGTGGAGTCATATCATAATCTAAGTTTACATTTCCCTAGTGGCCAGTGATATTAAATATTTCTGCATGTGCTTCTCTGCCATGGTATACCTTTGTCCTTGTCCATGAAATTTCTCTTCATGTCCCTGCCTGTTTTCTAGCTGGATTGTGTTTTTTTTTTAATATTGATTTTTAAGAATTTACTATTTGTATTAAGAGTTTTAAAAATATATCCTAGGTATGAGTCCTTTGTCAGATAAATGGTTTACAAATATTTTCTCCTAGTCTGTAGTTTGTCTTTAAATTTCTTTCTTAATAAGGTCTTCACAGTACAATAGTTTCTAATTCTAATAAAGGCTAAATTATCTTATTTTTGAACGAATCATGCTTTTGATATATTAAGAAATCTTTACAAAGCTTTAGGTACTAAAGATTTTCTCCTCTTACCTTCAATTTATACTTTACATTTAAATGTATTGATGATTTTAAGTTATTTTTTTTTCTATAACATATGAGGTATAGGTTGATTTTTGTTTTGTTTTGTTTTGTTTTGAGGGGGGTTGCTTATGGAGTGCTTCAGTTCTACTTATTGAAAAGACTATTCTTCATACATTGAATTGCTTTTGCACACTTAGAAAAGTAAATCAATTGGTTGCATTTGTGTGGGTCTATTTCTAAGTTCTTTATTCTATACAACTGATCTATTTATCTCATTTTTCAACAGTAACACCACACAGTCCTGGTTTCTGCAGTATATCATCATTTCCAAAATTCAGATGGAGTGATTCCTTCTACTTTATTCTTCTTTAAAAAAAAAAAGTTTAAGATAGTCTAGCTCCTCTGCTTTTCTACATAAATTTTAGAGTAATTTTGTCTAAATCTACAAAAAATTCTTGCTAATATATTTACATATGTATGCTAATTTGGGGAGAATTGACAAGTTTCCTATTCTTTATCATATTGAGTCTTTCAATCTGTGGATGTGATATGCCTCTCCATCTAAGATCTTTGATTTCTTTCATCAGTATTCTGTAGTTTTTCTGTACATATGGCCTGCATAAATTATTAAATTTATACCTATTTCACTTCTGAATGGTTACAAATGCTATTGTTTACTTAATCTTGATTTCTACATTTTTATTCTCAGTGAATAGAAACATAATTAATTTTTTTAAATGTTTATTTATTTTTGAGAAAGAGACAGTGTGAGCAGGGGAAGGGCAGACAGAGGGAGATACAGAATCCGAAGTAGGCTCCAACCTCTGAGCTGTCAGCACAAAGCCTGACGCAGGGCTCAAACCCACGAACCGTGAGATCATGACCTGAGCCAAAGTCAGATGCTCAACCAACTGAGCCACCCAGGGGCCCTGAAACATAAATGAGTTTTGAATGCTTATTTATATCCTGTAGACTTCTTTAACTCACTTATTAGTTCTAGAAGGTTTTGTTTTTGTTTTTGTTTTTGTTTTTGTAGATTCCTTGGATTTTGTACATAGGCAATCATATCATCTGCAAACAGGAATGAGTTCTTCCATTTCAATTTATATGTCTTTTACTTTCCTTTCTAGCCTTATTTTCCTGGCTAAAACTTCTCCACAATTTCTTCCATAAATTAAAAGAGAAGGGGCAGTTTTCAACTCAAAAATAAAAACTACAGACAAGTATCACTCATGAATATACAGGCAAAAAAACTTCTTAGCAAAATGTTAGAAAACAGAATCCACACAAATAACATGAACAAGTGAGGTTTATTTCAAGGATACAAGGCTGATTCAATATTTGAATATCAGTCAATGTAATCCACCATATTAATAGGCTAAAGAAGAAAAATCACCTGATCATATCAACTGATATAGAAAAAAATATATCTGACAAAATGTAACATCCATTCATGATAAAAACCCTCAGAAAAACTAGGAATGGAGGGGATCATATTCAACTTCATAAAATATGAAAATAATAAACTATAGCTCAAATTAAATCAAATGAGGTGTGTTATCTATTCCCTTTTATGTATCACTCACTAATATATGTGTTGAGAATCCACTACGTCACTATACATATGTTAATAACCAGTAAATTTCATTACTTAACACATAGTCAGTAAAGTCCACAGGAAAGATTATGCATTCTACAATGAATCCATGGGCAAACTGATTCAAAATGTGTTTCATCCCTTGATCTGGAAAGTCTACCTTAGACACAAGGTCAGATCCTTGTGTTTTTATCTCTACCCTTTCATCCATTCAAAAAATTCAATATCAATATCCAATATACAATTCAACATCCAATATTCAAAAAATATTCATTAAAGCTATACTGTATGACTACACTGCTCTAGGTATTGGGGGTACAATAGTGAAACAAACCTTCCTGACACTGTGCTAAATTATTAATATATACCACACTACATATTATATAATGATTAATATTATGAAAAAAAAATTAAATAGGAAAGTAAGAGAGGGAATACTGTGATGATGGTGGTAGTGGTATTAAATAGGGTGGTCAGGAAAGACCTCACTGAAAAGGTGATACATTGGCAAGTATTTAAGGATATGAGTATGTTGGGCAGAAAAATGTCCCTCTCTCAAAGATGTCCACATCCTAATCCCTGGAACTCGTGAATATGTTATCTTACATGGCAAAAGGGACTTTGCAGATATTAGTAAGGTCACCAACCTTGAGATGGAGAGATTATCTGGGTAGGCCTAATCTAATCACATTTAAAAATCAAAGCATCACACTTAAAATCAAAGCATCTTTCCCAGTTAGGATCAGAAGGAGATATGACTATAGAAGAAAGGTCACAGGGATACAATCATTTTTGCTCTGAAAAAAACCAGAAAGAGTATCACAAGTCAATGAAGGTGGGTAGCCTCTAGAAGCTGGAAAAGGCAAGTAAATAGATTCTCCTCTAGAGCTTTCAAAAAAGAACACAGATCTCTGAACACTTTGATTTTAGCCCAATCAGCCTGTGTCTGACTTTTTTTTTTAATTTTTTTTAACGTTTATTTATTATTGAGAGACAGAGAGACACAGAGTGTGAGCAGGGGAGGGGTAGAGAGAGGGGAAGACACAGAATCTGAAGCAGGCTCCAGGCTCTGAGCTGTCAGCACAGAGCCCAATGTGGGGCTAGAACTCACGAATTGTGAGATCATGACCCAAGCCGAAGTCAGTCACCTAACCAACTGAGCCACCCAGCTGCCCTGACTTTTGACATACAAAATGATAATAAATTTGTGTTGCTTTAAACCACTAAGTTTGTGGTAGTCTGTTATAGCAGCAATAGATAACAATACAGCAAGGGAGTGTGCTAATTGGTCAAGGAGCAATGGGGAAGCTGTTGAGTTTGAAAAAGAACAGTAATAAAAGATAGGTCAGAGTGGAAGTAAAAGATCATGGAAGACCTTGGTGGCCAGTGTAATGTTTGTTTTTCTTCTGAAACGGGAAGCCACTGTTAATTTTTGAACAGAAGAATATGATCTCTCTGTAAAGGTGAAGGACAAAATCCTAGAGCCTCTGAGGTCTCTGAGGAGGCTCCTTCAGTAACCTAAATGACAGTGGTTTCAATAAGGGCAGTGGCTATGAAAATGAGAAGCAGTCAGACAAATATTTTGAAGGTACAGCAAAAAGGATTTCCTGGTGGCTTATACGTTGAGTGTGAGAGATATCTCACGGTTTTGGCCTAAGTAAATGGAAATATGAGTATTGTTAATGAGAACATTATGAGATAGAGAAAACTATGAACAGAATAGGACCTTAGTTTCAGACACATGAAACCTGAGATACTTATTGAAGAAACACAGCTAGTAAGCAGTTGGATACATGACTCTAGAGTTAGGGGAATGGTCCAAAATGGAGACATAAATCTAGGTATCTTCAGGGAGCCTGAAGATGGTACTGGAAGTCGTAAGAGTAGGCACAATCACCAAGGGAGTAAGGGTAGATAGGAAAGAGAAAAGTTCTAGCAATTTGACTCTGAAGATCCCTAGTGTTAAGAAATTAGGAATATGGGAAGGACTCAGCAAAGGAGTCTGGAAACCAAGTGAAGTATGTATTTCAAGGAGGAAGGTGATCAATTATGACAAATGTAGCTTTTAGGTCAAATAATATGAGGACTGAGACTTGAGCAATAGTTTAAGCAACATGTCAGTAGTAGATGCCCTTTGAAAAGAGCAATTGCAGAATGGTGGGGATGTAGGATGCTGATCCTGATCATATTTGGCTTAAGAAAGACTAAAAGGTAAAGAATTAGCACCGGCAAATGATGATGATGACCTTCTCAAGGAGATCTGCTGTACATAGCAACAACATCAATCTCAGAGGAGGCACCCATAAAAGCATATGAAAGGTTTAGCACTGCATTTTCTGCTAATGTTATGGGAAAATGAAAACACAAGATTTAAATCTCCAGCCCTGGTGTGAAACATGCAAACCTGTACACACTGACCTTATATAGATACTGGCTTTGGTCTTTTTTTTATACCTTATTATGCCTGTAGAGTTACTGAAACAATATCTTTGAACTTACCAATAAACTCTCCTATACTCTCTTGCACAAATAAAAAATCTTTAAGAAGCACTGTTGCCAAAAAATAAGTCTAACTATTGACATATAAACACAATATAACTCTTTTTCTTGGCTTGATAAGATTTTTTTTAAGTGAGTTACTTTTTCATGGCAAAATGTTGTAGTTTCTTATTAAAAGGAGCAATGACTAGCAGCAGGAGATTTATGCTTGCAAAGGTATATGTGTTCTTTGTTTCACTTTTTTTCCCCTTAAGTATTGTAAGTTTTTCCCTCTTTGACCACTTGTAGGGGCAAATCTCCTGAGTGGTATGAAATGACTTGGTAATATCTTTAGAAATAGAAGAAAAAATCTGTTGTTTGGGGATTTTCTAGCAATAATATCTAGAGAATTATTTTTCTTCTGGGTTTATATACACCTTTCCTTAAGATTGTTTCCTCTATATGGGAGATAATCACATTTCTTTCCCAATTCCTTCATCCAAACATGGCATAAAAAGGTATTGATGAGGGGTGCCTGGGTGGCTCAGTTGGTTAAGCGGCCGACTTCGGCTCAGGTCATGATCTCGCGGTCCGTGAGTTCGAGCCCCGCGTCAGGCTCTGTGCTGATAGCTCAGAGCCTGGAGCCTGTTTCAGATTCTGTGTCTCTCTCTCTCTGACCCTCCCCCGTTCATGCTCTGTGTCTCTCTGTCTCAAAAATAAATAAACATTTTTAAAAAATTTAAAAAAAAAGGTATTGATGAGTAAGTCAAAGGTTATTTTTACCTGAGGAGCATGATAGAAGGGAAACATAATCGGACTTGGCACTTTAGGACGTATGGTCTCAAAAAATATTCCTACTTGGACAAATTTAGTATTTGAGCAAGGGGGCTAAATGGATGATGGGCATTAAGGAGGGCACTTGTTGAGGTGAGCACTGGCTGTTATATGTAAGTGATGAATCACTAAATTCTACTTCTGAAACCATTATTACACTATATGTTAACTAAGTGGGATTTAAATAAAATTTTTAAAAAAGGAAAAATAAATTGAATTAGAAATATAAAATCAATATAAGTTTTACATTAAAAAATAAATGAGAAGAAAACATACTTTTAGGTTATGAAAGCCTTTCCTAACTTAAAATCTAGAATCCAGTTTAAAATTTTTCTTAATTGTTTGTTAAAAACACATTCTTAACCCCTCTGTCTTCCACTCTGACAAAAAGATCCCTTTTCTTTTCGATCTTTAGCCATTGCTAAAGTGTTACCTATCTGTCTTTGTACTGTTTCCTGGATGCCATATCCTGTAACCTTGTGCTGTGACCTCAGCATGACAGCTGTTGCGATGATTTTGGCTGAGGCTGTTGCAATTACTCACCCAAAGCAGTAGACTGTTGGCTCCTTACACCTACTGTATGCCTGCTGCTCCTGCCTGTTGGCCTTCTGATAGGTTAAGTTGCTCTGTCAACTTTACTAGGTAAAAGGTCCTGTGGGAGGCTTGCTCTGTACAGATCGACTGCATAATGTTACATCTCTGCAGCAAAAGAGCAAATATTACTGTCCTGAACCTCCAAATTTCATTTTGTTGGGTCCATTTTCCACAAATAGCCATCATTCAGTGAGGAGAATTAAATCCATGACATTGTAGGTAAATTGTAAATG